CAGGTCACAACCTGCTGGCACAAACAAGAAGGAAGAGGGGAAGGACACAGAGACCACAGTCCCTCGGCCGGGCAGTCCCCGTGTGGTACAGGCTGGAGACGTGTGTGGCACTGAGAGCACAGCAGGAGGGCTGTGGCAGCACTGAGACTGAAGCCCCCAACACACGGTGACGGGCAGCACAATGGCAGCAGCATGGGAGCCTGGCCAGGTGCTGCAGTGCGTGTCTGCTGGCCACAGCGGGCCACTGCTGTCACTTGTGGAGCAGGACATGCAGCAGAGCTGCCCATGGGTCAGTGCATGACAATGGAGGGGACCCAGAGGGGTGGCTCAGCTCCAGCTGCAGCTCAGTGAAGACAGCACTGCAGGAAGGGGAACTTGGCGGGGGCCCTAGGCTATGAGCCCCAAGGAGAAGGAAGCCAGTGAGGAGCATCAGGACAAACCCTTGGTTACCGGTTACCGAGCAAGGAGAACCAGGGCAAGGCTGTGGTGTGCAGAGCTAAAGGGACTCTACAGTTACGTTCTTAGAGACACAGCTTGGCTGTTCTTGGCTTTAACCTTTGCAATTTAGAAGTGGATCGACCTTTAACCTCCACACTGACAATACAGGGAAAGCTGTAGTATCCGCTTTGAACTTAAAAAAAAACCCAGAACATGTTCACAAGCACTATTCCAATTTGGAAGGAGTCATAGTTACGAGGTTGGTGATTACCCTTCGAGGACAATGTAGATGCCAACAACATATGATGAACAAGCTGAATAAGGAAAAGGCTGCTCACATGTTCAACTCTGGTTTCCAATCAACTTCCTATCAAGCACACTAAGCCCCTACCAAACTCCTCAGAAAGATGGGGCTTAAGGTCCCTGCCCTTACTGTCATGCAGGGCTCTCTGCACACTGCGAAGACCCCCAGTAACATCGAATGGGCAAAGCTAAGCTCTAGATGGAGCACATATCAGCCGAGGCAGCCAGAAAAAGAGGTCAGCTGCTGGCCAAGACGGCTTGGAGGACCCCCACCAGGGCTGGTGGTCAGCTGACCCTTCTCCAAGCAGCCCCATGACCTCACTCACTTCTGTCTTGCTAGTTCTGACAAAAGCACTCTGCAGGGCTGGTGAGATGGCTCAGTGGTCTAAAGCACCTACTTAGAACAAGCTTAGCAAAGCACATGGACCGTGGTTCAATCCCCCAGCACCACATGCCAGCCAGCGCCGCCCCCTGGTGGGCTGAGCTGGCCACACACACACACACACACACACACACACACATAAATAAATAAATAAATAAAATTTAAAAAAAAGAAAAAAGCACTCTGCAGGGGTGTGCAGGACAGGAGCAGGGAACCAGGGCACCTCAGGCCAACAGCCAGCGATGAACAGAGAAAACTAAGGTTTTGCCCGCCCACCCAAGAGCAGCTCAGGGCAAAGGGCTCTATCCCCAAAGGTCTAGATGCTCCAGAAGGTAGAGTTTAATAAAAAGTTGAGAGGGATTTCACATGCATATTTCCAAGGATCTGCTCAGGGCAGGAGGCACAGTATAAGTTGTAAGGTTCATCAGTTGCACTTCTGGGTTTCCTGGTGATGTGGGGACAGAACTTAGCAAGGACTCCATGCGGCGCCACATACACAGTAATCCAGTTTTCAGCATTAAAGAGAAATATTCGGTGTTTCCTGTTCCAGGAGAGATCATGAAAGGTGTCCTGCGTACATCTTCAGACAGGTCGCTGCTGACGCTGGAATGGGAACAAAGAAGGTACCTCCTTGTGGGGGCAGCGCTGTGACCCAGGTCTGTTCCAGCAATGCGCGTCTGGCAAGCATCAGAACAAGCCCAGCATGATGCTTCCAAAGACAAAAGCTGTCCCTGCTGCCGATGGCGACTGCCAAGCTGGGACGAGTGCAGCCAGGCACACAGGGCTATGTCCACGACAGATTCCCATGCATCCGTCGGCCAGATCAAAACCAGTGAGGCCAGCAGAGCAGGCCACGGCAGGAGGTGACAAGTGTCAGGGCTGCAGTGCTCAGTGCACAGGAGGCGTGCAGCACCCCAGCTGGTGCACCCCAGCTATGCACCATGTGGAGGGAGAGACATGCTCACGTGAAAGCAGTGACCACCTTACCCAGCCGCTCCCTTCCCCTGGGCCCGGCACTGCTCAGGCCAAGCCTGATCCCTGGGTACAGGCCTTCTAAAAGGACTGCCCTATAAAGAGCATCGGCTTTTTCTTGTTGGTGCCATGGAAGTCTGGACGTGATGGCTGGAATGGCCGCAGTCAGTGTGCAGTCATAATGGCAGAGTAGAAAAAAGTGAAGTACAGAAGTCCTTGATGACGCTGGGGAGGAACTGAACTAACATAATCACCCTGGAATCACCTTCTCTGCATGATTTTTATGACACCAGATAATAAAACTTGTTTGTTGTGGCTCACAGTGAAATGGTACCCTTACAAGCCTTGGTTGGAAATGACCTCTCTGGGCCCTCTCCTGGCCACCCTAGCTGGAAATTCTAGCACCAGCTTTGAACAGAAACACCCTGCACTGACCCCAGCTCTGCCTCTGACTTACTCAAGTCTCTCTGAGGCTCAGCTTTCTCTCTTGTAATTTACATGTACAACCAAGGAATTATGAACAGGTCAGAATGCAGGGTCACCCGGATTAAATGAGGTAATGCATGCAGGGTGGCCAGCTGACATCAGGCACGTAGGAAACATCCATGGAGGCCTGGGTGTGAGGCACAGGCTGGTGCTATCCTCTGAAATGCATGGTGTGTGCAGCATCTCTGTGGGCAGATGCAGGCAGAGGGATTGGAAGTCACTGGAGAACCATCGAGGCCTATTGTTGACATCAAAGGAAAGGATCAGTGAGGACCAGGACTGGGCTCCCAGGGCAGGACCCAGCTGCCATAGCTCCTGTTAAGACGCAGGGCTTTCCTTGATTTAGAGAAAGGGCAGTGGTGGGGCCTGCCAGGGTCACAGGACACCAGGACCATGCAGACAGCACTGCACATCTGACCACACTGGACACACAGACCCAGCAGGGCTGGGGTCGCTGCGCAACATCAAAGGCGCCAGGCACCTGGGAAGACAGGCAGAGCTGAACTGAAGCAAGCAGCTTCTCCAC